CTTTTTGTGACTGGGTTACATCACTCAGGATGGTTTCTTCTAGTTCCATCCATTTGCCTGTGAATTTCAAAATTTGATTTTTTTTTTTTTTTTTTTTTTTTTTTTTTTTTGGCATTTAGGTTGCTTCCAGGTTCTGGCTATTACAAATAATGCTGCTATGAAGATAGTTGAACAGATGCCCTTGTTGCATGAATATGCATCCTTTGGGTAATATGCCCAAGAGTGGAATCGCTGGATCTTGAGGTAGACTGATTCCCATTTTCCTAAGAAACCACCATACTGATTTCCAAAGTGGCTGTATGAGTTTGCACTCCCACCAGCAATATAAAATTGTTCTCCTTTCTCCACATCCTCTCCATCATAAACTGTCATTGGTGTTTTTGATTTTAGCTGTTCTGGCAGGTGTAAGATGGTATCTCAGAGTTGTTTTGATTTGTATTTCACTGACGGCTAAGGATGTTGAGCAATTTCTTAAGTGTCGTTCAGCCATTTTAGAGTCCTCTATTGAGAATTCTCTAGTTCTGTACCCTAGTTTTTAACTGGATTATTTGGTGTTTTGGTACCTAGCTTCTTGAGTTCTTTGTATATTTTGGAGTTCAGCCCTTTGTTGGATGTGGACTTGGTGAAGATCTTTCCCCAGTCTGTGGGCTGCCATTTGGTCTTGTTGACTGTGTCCTTTGCCTTACAGAAGCTTCTCAGTTTCAGGAGGTCCTGTTTATTAATTGTCTATTTCAGTGTCTGTGATACTGTTGTTATTTTCAGGAAGTGGTCTCCTGTACCAATTTGTTCAAGGGTACCTCCACTTTCCCTTCCAAGAGGTTCAATGTGGCTGGTTATATTGAGGTCTTTGATCCATTTGGATTTATGTTTTGTACATGGTGATAGATATGGATCTATCTGCACTCTTCTACATGTCAGCCTCCAGTTATGCCAGAATCATTTGTTGAAGATGCTTTTTTTCCCCATTGTATAAGTTTAGCCTCTTTGTAAAAAACAAAACAAAACAACAACAAAAAACAGGTGTTCACTGGTGTGTGGATTAATATCAGGGTTTTTGATTATATTCTATTGGTCTACCTGTCTGTATTTGTGCCAATATCAAGCTTTGTGTGTGTTTTAATAAACTGTAAAATTTCTTGTATTTGACAGATTCAAAGGGCCATACTTTGAACTGGTATCTTGTTTTTTTCACTATCGCTGTTTATTTACTTTTTATATTTTTAAACCATATATACATATATATGTATATATATGTATATATGTATATATATTCTGTACTCAGTATATTCTAAATTTTAAAATGAACTTTAAAAATTTCTTAAGAATCCTTATCCAGCTGGGCATTTTGACTCATGTTTGTAATTTCAGCACTTGGGATATGGAAGCTGGAGGATCAGGATTCCCAGACAAGCCTGAGTTATATGAGATTAATCTTCAAAAGTAAAAACATCTGATGTGGTGGCACATGCCTTTAAACCCAGCAGTTGGAAAGCAGAAGCAGACGGATGTCTGTGAGTCTGAGGCATGGTACATTTGAGACCAGCCAGGACCACTGTCTCAAAAACAAGCAAATAATAAATAATTAATAATGGAATCTTATCTTTATTAACTCAACATTTCTACCTTTCCTATCAGAAGTCTTGACACAAATGATTCTATCCCTTGACCCTTTGGTCTCTACAGTCTTGAGAATAAGCCATGTACTTTCCATTTTGAATGAGCAAGCTTAATAAGTACACAGCAAAAGTGAAAGAATAAAGAACAAGTATCAGACGCAGAGCAAAATGTCACCAAGCCAAGAGTCACAACATCCAGCAGTAACAACTGGAGTGGCCTGACTGGAGTGACATAATGACATCAAATCAAGCCTTACAGCACCCAGAAGAAACTTACTGCAGAAGTTGAGTTCCTGACTGAGTTTTCTCAATGGCTGAGTTTCCCAAGGCTCAACTTCAGGCTTCCTGTGCTCATTGCAGATTTTTTTCTTTAACATAAAACAGGATAATCAATAGTACTCTATTGGAAATGGTTTACCTCCTAGCTGTGCTGTTCTGCAGTTCTCTTCCCTCCCCATTACAGAGTTAGAGGCACTGGCCCATCCCCAAATAAAGGGCCTTGGAGGCCATTTGACAAATATATATGCTTGGGTCTGAAGTGGAGGGGAGCCAACTCTGCTTCTAGAACCAGATTCTTGGTGAGTTCAAAGAGCACACGATGATTTATCAATATAATATACATCACAGCCTTCACCTTTGCTCTTAGACAATATTCTTTAAGACAGTGTCAAATGTTACTGCCTGAGAGAAAAGAAACAACTCCAAGTATGGCCCTTGTATCTTCATTGTAATGGGCTTTATTTCCATTCTGATTGTTCTTTTTTCATAATTTGAAGCCAAGAAGTTCTATTTAACTATTCTTTAGTTTCTACTTCAGCTTCACACATTGGATTGACATCCTTAGGGAACTGAGGAAACTCCAAGCTGGGTTTTAGTTTACTAAGTGTGTGAAGGCAGATACTAAAGTCTGCAATCTAAGCAAAGTGAGGTCTGCTTAGCTGCAAGGGAATCTGGAAGAGCCAGCCAAACACATCTAAGCCTTGTGGAAGGTATATCAATGCAAGAACTCAACCCACTGAGTAAGTTGTTCTATGCAAACATCCATCCCATTAGTGGCCTTTGTGTGGATGCCACCCTCTCTCACATGGGCCTTTGTGCAGTCTGATGGAAAGTTGAAGCTGATTTAGGAGTCATCTGTGATAATCCCATCCTGGAAGATTTGGGAATGGCTGACAAAGGAGGTAAAGACCAAGTTCCTCTAGCAGTGTTATTCACTCTAGCAGTATTCAGTGGCACAACAGCCACAGGGGGGCTGGCTGTTCCTCCTCCTGAGGATGATGAGAACAAAGAAAAGTGAACAACTGACATTTCAGTTTGGGACCAAGTTTGGGAACATTCTTCAAGCGTATTTTGGCTGCAAACTCTTTAGATACCAAGATTTGCTTGGTGCTACATGCAGAACTGTTGTAAATACATTTAAAAGGAACACTCCCCAAAGTTGCAAATCTGTAACTATCAAAAAGACTTCACTCAAGAGGAAGAAGCCTGACTGCATGCTGAGGAGGAGTGGTAGGAAACCCCATGCTCCTGACACTGTAGCACTGTGGGAGTGTGCTAACTAATACCAGGTGCTGTTTATGTAACTGTTAATGCTAGAGAGAGGGGAGACAAGCCCCTCAGCAGCTCACTGAATTAGAACATGTTAGTATGTAGCTGAAGTACAGATTCCACACTTACAACTTGGTTTCTTCCAGTGTGAATGAGTCCCTTTGTTCTTAATTATGTATAAAATTACAAAGTAGCTTTTGGGGCTTCCTCCTTCTCCTCTTCCTTCTCTTCTAAGAAATTATTTCTGCCTAGTTTATTAACCCTTTGTCTGTGCTTTTAAAAGCTGATTTTGTAAATAAAACAACTTGTAACATTTCCTGAAACAGAATTAGCATAGTATCTTTATTCGTGCATTGAAAGAAAGCATCTTGAAGTTAATGTCCCAAAGGAAGGTGTTGGGCTGTGCTCCCAGAGTTGAGCAGCATGGCTGCCATTGATTAGCAGTGTGTGTAGCAAGGACCTGAGAACTTCCTTTCTTTTTTAATCTTCTAAGCTTTGAATCTCAGCTAGATACTCAGTTTGTAGTTTTGGTGTGAGAAATGTTATTAGAAATTTGTTAGCTTTTCAATTAAAATACTCATTTAAATAAAAAATCCATTCCGGAGTGGCTCAGTCATTAAGAACACTTGCTATTCTTGCAGAGGACTTGGGTTTAATTTCCAGCGGCTACATGGCAGTTCACAGCCATCAGTAACTCCAGAGCCAGGAGATCCAATGTCCTCTTATGACCTCCAGGAACACCATGCAACCACATCGAGCATATACATGAATGCAAGCACATAAAATCATAGAATACTTCTTTAAAGTTAAAAAAAAATCCATTCGGTTGCTTTATTAAGCCTTGCACCAACTTCTACCTGCACAACCCCTCTCTCTTCTGTTCCACTTTCTGACATTATTTGGCAGCCATCTTCATCACAACGTTGTTTTAAGTCCTGTGCTGTGCCAAACATCTCACTATGTTCTAGTCAAGAAATAACTTAGCCTCATGGGTCCTCTAGTGCATCCAGGGAACCGATGCTGCTAAAGAATTTAAAGACATTAAGAGCCAGGAACTCTGGTGCAAATCTCCTGGAGATTACCGGGTGAGTAGGGGGGATGGTGAGGGAATGAATGCCCCAGCATCACCTGGAGGTGGTGGCCCACACCTTTAATCTTCACACTTGGGAGGCAGAGGCAGGTGGGTCTCTGTGAGTTCAAGGCCAGCATGGTCTACCTAGTGAGTCTACACAGAGAGACCCTGTCTCTAAAAACAAAAACAGGGAAGAAAAAAAAAACCCAAGCCTTGACCTCTAAAGTGAGGGGCAGCAAGCTCCATCGCTAGAGTAGAAACCTGTTTGTCCTGACTGGAGAGGCCCTAAAGGCAGAATGTAGACTTAAGTCTGCCTGCCAAAGGAAAGAAAGAAAGCCTTTAAAGAGAAAGGCTTGCAAATCTCGCCCTACAGCATCTTTATGCAAATGCATCAGGACAGTGTGACAACTGCATTCTTTCTTTCATTTTTGCTGGTGATAAGCGCTTTGCAGGGTGGGAAACAGAGGCTGCAGCGAAGAGCGGATTTCTCAAGAGCACATTCGGCGTCCCTCCTGCAGCGGCACTGTCCTAGTTAGAAAAGGCATCCCAGGCTTTGACAAACTCGCAGTGGCTACCGTAGGGCGCTTTCCTTCCTCGGGGCTGCTGAGTCTGCACGAAGTCCCCGCCCCCTCCGAAACCCCGCCCCCAAGATTTCCAATGCGAGCAGGCCCCGCCTCAGGGCCGCGCGCAGCCTGGCCCAGGGCACGCCCCTGCCCCTTACTCCCGACCCTTGGCGGTGGGGCTTTTAGAAGAACCACCTCACCGCCAAGTCCAGCTTACGACTCGATCCGGAGCGGGAAAGCGACATGGCAGCGCCAGCTAAGGCCGAGAACCTGTCCCTGGTGGTGCATGGACCTGGGGACATTCGTTTGGTAAAAGGGGAAGGAGGGTGGGAAACCAGGCAGCCACCCACCAAGTCCTGCCTTAACCTTCTGCAAGCTCAGCAGCGGTCCCCACTCCCAAGTTCTTGTCGCTCACGGGGCCGGGCTATTGGCTGTACCAAGCACCCCGTCTACCCCTGTTTATTTACCCAGATCTTAGCTGGTTACCGGGAGGTGGGGGTGGGGTAGCAGTTAGCGGGCCGTTATCTATCCCTAGGGAGAGTTCTGGTCGCGTGCTCCCGGGACTCAGCCCCGTGCCTGGCACGTGGCCTGTGCCCTGAACCGTTTAAAACAAATCAAGCCTTCGTCTCCTTTGCTACCTGCAAATTCACACTCTTGCTATTGCTCTTCAGAGGGAGACTGCCAGCATTCGGATCTACTCAGATCTTTTCTGTGTAGATCTTGCAGGGCAGAAAAGGGCGACAAGACTGTACTTAAAATAGTGAAATCCTACTTAATCGCGATAATATCCCCTTGCAGATTTTTAATTTATCACGAGAGGAGCCAGCATTCAGTAAGTGCACAATGCACTCTAACTGGTGATGTTAGAGATAACCTGTTGCTTATCTTACCTAGTACACTTCTGTGTCACTTACCTGGAGCATTCTGTGTACCTCTGGCTTTAAACCTGGGTCTAATCCCTGAGCCAGAGTCCAGAACATGTGCTGAGTCATCTCTGGTCATGCCAAAGATACTTTGACAAAGTCCATCTCAGTGAGGCATGCAGTAATGTGGCTTGGGTACCAGCCATCTCTGCTGCTCTCCCTGAATTTCTGTCCATCACATTCTGAGAACATGTACCAGGAGAGACTCATCCTGGTGAACACTTCTTGTCTAAGAATCTGTTCTCCGTGGTCTCTTCACTCCACAGAATGCAAACAGACTTGAGTTTGGAAGCATTTTCAAATGTTTAAGGAGTTCCTTAACTCCTCTCCCTGTAGGCCTATTTTTTTGATTCCAAGCCAAGAACCCTTGCCTGGAGCAAATACTCCACTTCATTTGATGGGGAAAGTGCCATCCCCAAGATGGTAGTCTTGGTTAGTTACAGGGCTGAAGGCAAGAACTCAGATTCAAACTCCCTTTCTTGTGCTGTTTCCAGTCACTTTTGGAACATTCTGAATTAAAAAGGCACTGTATGTTTATTACAGTCAATGGCAGGTATGGAGACAGAAAAGTGATGTGTTTCTGCATAGCTTACAGAGTGACTTTGAACTTAGTTTTTCATGTCACAAATGTTTACTAAGTGAGAATATGCCTGCTGTGGACCTAGGCATTGGGCTGAGGGCCCAGAGAGGATGTAGTCCCTGTTCCCAAGCATCCCAAAAGCGGGGGACAGGTGAAAGAAATCATTAAAGCACTGTGCTGTGCAAAGCTTGTTCTGCCCTGAATTGCTCTTTAAGGTAAATTGTAGATGTCTCAGCTTGCCTGGAAATAACCCTTGAAGTGAGAGGGTCATAAGAGCTCTTAGTGGGGAGTATGCTGTTGCAGGGGCCCCTATAATCCAGCACACGCTCCTGGGCTTTTCTGCTCCTTGTCCAGCCACCACCCCCTTAGGGGACCTCTGCTCTCTATTTCCTTAAAGCGGATAGATTCAGTAGTTTGTGTGGTGCTACCAGCACCAAACCACATCATCAGGGAGGAAGAGTCCTAAGGAAGCTTTGAGGGGATCTGTTCTGTAGGAAAACCACAGTGAAACCCAAGATGTCTGAGCATAGTAGATTAAATGATAGTGGCTTTTGGAATCCATAGCAGCTTGGCTATGAATTATAAAATGGGGAAGGGGGAAGACATAGCCACAGAGTTTAGGTCTTTCCATTAATTAGGGTTGGGTGGTGAACGGAGGCTTATCTTTAATCTGGGTGGACTAGGGGCAGGGTCTACTGTTAAAAACCCTTATCTCAGGATTTCACAGAAAAGGAATTGTTTGGGGAAACACCATTCCTAAAATCTAAATCAGGAATCTGAAGGTCTCTGAAAGGAAGGAGAACTCAGGCTTTCCCAGTGTTGCCTTCCTGCCACCAGTAAGGCCAGAAACTGGCCAGTGTCCAGCACATGGCTCTGGGAAAACAGGATTTGAGCCTCTTTGCTGCAACAAGCAGGAAGGAAACCTAAAACCCAGGCTTGCCTCTGCCTACCTGGAAGAAGGGATTCCCTTTCCTTGCTGCAGTAATCAAAGTCAACATGGCAAGGAGGAGGGAGGGTTTGTAATTTGGATAACAAAGTGAGAGAAGGCATGTGATGTGTGTACACGCACAAACACACATTGGGACAGACTAGTAGAGGCGTATACACAGGAGAATGGTGGATGTGCACATGCATACATATATATTAAGACAGACCAGTAGCTTTCCTTCATAATGAGGGAGAAAAGCCCAAATTTCTCTATTTTTATTGTTAGTTTTGCTTTGTATTGCTTTTTGTTTTTGTTTTTGGAGACAGGTGTCTCTTTGTATCCCTGCCTATCTTGGACCTTGATCTGTAGACCAGGCTGGCCTGAAACGTAGAGATCCGCCTGCCTCTGACTCCTGAGTTTTCAGATCAAAGGTGTGAGCCACCAACACCTGGCTTCATTATTTCTCTTTTAAATGGAGAAATTGGGACTTAAGGAAGCAAGAGGAAGAAGTGAGTCAGTTGATGTACAAGGAAGCAATCCACCCATCAGCAAGCAGTTTCATTTGTCTGGGGTCATCTCAAAAAGGAGATAGTATACTCAAAGCCAGGGGTCCTGAAGTGGAGGTCAGTCCCAGTCCACTGTGCTTAGTTATGTGGCTTAACAATGTTTTTTTTTTTTTTTCCCCTCCTGTTATCATTGTCTTGAAGAGAGGCACCAGGCCTGTAATCCCAGCTACTCAGGAGACAGAGGCAGGAAGACTGACTGAAAGTTCAAGGCCTGATTGAGCTACAAAGTAAGTTCAAGGCCAGTGGTAGAGGCTAGGTTAAATTCCTAACAGAACAGGAGGGGTGGAGAGGTTTTAATACTCTTTTTCGTGGTGGGCGCTTCAGTGACACTGCTTATAAAAGGATCAAACAGAGTCCCATGCATCGTCACTGGTAATGTGCTAACTGTAGACTCATGCAAGAGGACAAAGCCTTTAAGCCATCTTAGCATGAAGAGACGAATAAAGGCCAAAACCAGCAAATGTATGGGCAATTTTTGCAAAATTCCTAGAATGTGGACCAGGTGGAGCTTGTAAAATCTAGAACTTGCTTTTCATTTTGGGGAATGGATTACTGGTTCCTGAAGCTGGAGTAGGAGACAGCTGACTTCACTTTTCTGCACAAAAGCTTTGGTGTTGGGGGCAAGTGGGTAGCTTGTGAGTTTTTACATTAAAAAATATTTTATGCTGTAGAGTTTGCTAGAATAGTAAAGAAAATTAACAAAAGGGATCAAGATACTGCTGGATTACTACACAGGTTCTTGCGTTCAGTGCTTTACCGACAGCTTCAAATTCTGTAGCTGATGAATAGAATGATTTGGTTTGCATTTCCAGCTGACCACAGACTAATGTTTGTACCGGGCTCTGAAGGTCAGAATGCTAATCATTCCTAAATGTGCCTACCAATTTCCTGTCTCACTGAACTCATGGACCATCCTCTGAGTGAATGCTATCTCTTTTCTTCCTGAAAACTAGCCCGTCCTTTTTTCAGTCATTTAGTCTGCCTGGGCTTGTTGTCAGAGCCTATAACCCCAGCTACTGGGAAGGCTGAGGCAGGAACACTGAAAGTTCAAGTCCAGGCTAGGCAGTTAGTCAGTCCTTAAAAGGATGAGAGAGGCAACTTACAGGTATGTGCTTGATTACCATGGGCAAGGGACCTTTAATCCCAGCACTTGGGAAGCAGATCTCTGAGTTTTGAGACCAGCCTAGTCTATACATCAAGTTCCAGCTGGGGTTATACTCTCCAAAACCAAAAAACCATACTATTGGATAGACCCATCTGGGTGTTTCCAGACACTTGAATCCCAACACATCCAAACTTAAGTCACCTAAGGGTCCCATGTTATGATAATAAATGTGGGAAACCTTGTCAGATCCCATGGCAGTGAGGGTGACAGAGGGAAGGACAAACACACCAGACAGTCTGAGCTTAGTGAGAAGTTTTATTAGAAAGGGAAGGGAGAGGAAGGAAAGGAAAGCGGTAAAGAGACACAGAGACAGAGAGGACAGAAGAGAAAGGGAGACAGGAAAAGTCTTGCCTGCCCCAGGGGAACAGCAGGAAAGACAGTGTAAGTGGGCAGAGGTCTTTTAAAGGGGTCCTTTTGTACCTGCATGCTGACCGGGGTACTGCCTAAGTGCATTCTGCCAGGTGACAGGGGCAGACTGACATAATGCCAGAATCCTTACACCACAGGAATTGGCATGCTTCACTTCCCTTTTGTAGGATCATGGGAAAGAGAGGGAGAAATGGCCCTTATGAGGATAAGTGTTGGATATGGCTGGAGGTGAGATTGAGGCCTGTTATGAGGGGTGTGGGACTTTTAGGGGCTAATGGGGAGTCTAAACAGATTCTTACTTCAGAAAGATTGTCATCAGCAGGACAGAGAGGCTAGGTAGAACAAGAGCCTGGGCACAGGACCAGCTCAGTGGACTATGGGAACGCTTCCAACCCTTTATTTTGACCGCTTCACATGTCAGGACCAATGGCTAAAACAAAGCCTTTTGCCCAATTGGAAAACCTTTGGCTTTTCCTCCCACTCTCAGAACACAGGACAAATGGGTAGGGATGGGGGGAATGGAGCAGAAGTGACAGAGTCTCCTTCACCTTACGTATTCAGCACAGCTCCTCAGGGGCACGGGCAGTCTGACAAATGGAAGCAAGTGGGAAAGACATCTGCTGAGAAAAGAGAGTAGAATCCGGGCACAGGCCACCTCTACCATATATACCACCCCATATACCCAGCCTGTCCCTTTAAGGTGTGGGGGTGGCTTCATCTCCACATAACAAGCAAGCCCAAATCAGTGCTAGACCCCTACTTTAGCTCTTCCAAGTCC